TTTTGAACAGATGTAAACAATGGCAGGAGGCTTAAAAGTATAGACGTGATATCAGCTAAATTTAATTATTGTACTAAATCGCAGAAAAGTAGGCTACAGTACATACTTTAGACTGCTATTCCTCACTGTGAAGTAATGTGAGGGAGGAAACTAGTTGACATTAGCTAGTTAATTAGCCATGTTATCTGCCTCGGTAGCAAGCCAAATAGTATTTATTTCAACACTGAAACAAACGGCGGGTGGGTCTCTGTCTTGATCGGGGGTGAAAGAGGGAGAAAACCGAAGATGACACAGATATATAGTTTATGTTCGACTTGGAAGTATTTATTTAGCGATCGGCGCTAAAACGTCATCTGTACGGAACATCATTGTGTACGGAACATGGTTAGTCTACGTTACCCGAAAAATTCCCATACGACAGACTTCGTCTTTTTCGACAGGGGAAAAAGTTCCAGGGATTCATCTCCTTCGGCCATCCTACACACAGGTGACTCTGCTCTCACCAACCGGAGGGGGAGGGGTCGTGTGACTCGCTACGCTCTTCGCTGCACACAACTGAGGGAGTCCTGCACTTTCTGTCTTTGACGACACGTAAAAAAACTGCGCATACCGCAGGAACGGTATAATGGAAAATTAGTGGTTTTGAAACCGTGACTTTTCCAAACCGCGGTATACCTTGAAACCAATTATCGTCCCATGCCTACACCCCTACTAATAAACAATCCACCCACCTATCAATCCACACTAAAACAAAGGCTTTAAAATATAAAATAATTCTTAAATAAAATAACTGCATATTTGGAAGCAACAGTGTGCAGCCTGACATTTGTAGTTTTGTGTGTGCTTTAAATACATTACATTGCATTAAATTGATCAAAAGTAACAGTAAAGCCATTTGTAATATTACAAATGATTTCTATTTTAAAATAAATGCTGTTAATAAATCATGAAAACAAATAATGGATTTCACAAAAATTGAGCAGCACAACAGATTTTTACCATTTATAATATTAAGACATGTTTCTTGAGCATCAAATCAGAATGATTTCTGAAGGGTCATGGGACAATACTGTAACTTCACAAAATTATTATGCATGTTACAATGTAAAGAAGAGGACTGCACTGCAAAACTGTTTTTCCCAAAACATTTTTTACAGTTTGACATACTGAGTTCTGTAATCTGTAAGTGGTTACTACATACAGTAGCAATGCTTTTTTTTCTAGCAATACTTTTCCTGCTATTATTTATTATTCGTTAATTTATATCAGATAATTTAATATATAAATATCAAACATTTAATAAAGCAGCAGGTCAAACTGAGAGCTGTTTCTTATTAATCCTGTTTTTCAAATCAGTTGAAAGACTCCCAAACTTTGTCTACGACACAGACTTCACAGGAGACATGTTAATACTAGATATAAACGCTATGGTCAGATCAACCAAGACTGATCTGATAATTAATATCAGGTGTAAACGGGGTCATTGTCTCATTTGCACCTCAGCGTCACAGTAGCATCTCTTTCCACCAGTCCTATTCCTTTGTGTGGTTGTGCTTTCTTGTCCAGCTCAATTATCCTGTCTGAATCATTGGTGTACCTTCAGGCTCCTGTGGAATGTTTTAAAAAAGCACTTGTGGTGTTCTAGTCCTGAGTGAGCTTTTTAGTTCTGGTCCTCTTTTGATAAGATAATCACATTCCTAGTCTTGCTGCTTTTTCTCTTTTGAAGAGGCCACTTTCTTCTCTTTTTGTCTATTTAGCCTCATCTGTTGGATCTAGCATTCGAGACTGCCTCTTTCCCTACTGAGAATTGCAACTTGTTGACAGTCCAAGTCTTCTGATGCTCCTTTTTTTTTTTTTTCCATGTCTGTCTCGACATGTCCAAGTCTCGTACCGTGAAGACTCGCATTGTGTCCTGTTTTTTTTTTCTTAATGTGGTTATTCAATCTGTTACAGAACAGGGAGCCAAGATGACTTGGTTACTTTGATGGGTGTCCTTTCAGAATGGATGGGGGTAGAGAAGCGTGGGACTGTGAAACAGTTGAGGCTGTTTGAAGCTTTGCCTGACTTTAATCCTTGCGACTGCTTTTGAGTTTTCAGAAACTCAGGAACAAGCCCTCATTGTATTGTCCCTTTTGAGCCTTTTTTCATGTCAGCCTTTCTCTTTTGCTCTACCATTCTGTTTTTCTCCAGTGTGCACTGCTTTTGATTTGAGAGGGACTGCATGACAATAAGAGGCAAATGTGGCATTTGCATGACCCAAGACATTGTACTTTGTGCTGCATCATGACATAGGTGTCTTGATGTCCTAGACTTGCTGTTATCACCTGCCTGCTTCAAATTGCCTTTCTCAATGAGACGAGTCATTGTCTTACACAGCAGCAAGGATGGATCATCAGTCAGAGCTGAGCAGTAGTACTCTTAAGGTGTTTATAGAGATTTAAAAGGATGTCTAAATGACTGTTCATTCAATATTTTCGTTCTGCTCTAACTGTATCTTCTTTCTCCCTCTCTCCAGCATTTCTGTGTTGATTTGGATCACACATATATGGCGTTTGTGACCATCTGCGGAGAGTTCTGCCAGGCTCAGCACCTCACCTTTGTGGACAAGTGAATTGTTAGCCACCCGTGGGACTACGCTACCCAGAAGCCTCCTTGACAGCCAGCACACTGGGCCCAGTCTGTCTCTTCTATACCCTTTTGGGATCCCGTGTAGTCCTCAAACACGTCCACCTCACTTCCTCCCTACAGCTTTTTCTCCCTGTAGCCAATCAGAAACTCTTCTCCTGAATGGGGTAATCTCAATTGTCTCAATTGGATGACTGAGGGATAGTCTCCTTTTTTCTTTAGTTTTCCTTTCAAGTTTCTCATCCCTTTTTTATACATCCTTTAAACATCATGGACTAGATCACCCTCCTTTTGACTTTTGTTTGTACTTCTAGTAGTCTAGTGTCCACCCGCCATTGCACCCACTATATATTTTTTTGTCTGTATTTATTTTTCATACTGCTGAAAACTGAGCCAAAGATTTTTTTAAAGAAACAAAGGAACAGGAATTATAAGTACTTCATTGTAATTGTTTTAAAGACGTCTTGCCAACATGAACCGCCCTGCCGCTGTTGAGATTTCCTATGACTGCATGAGATTCCTCATCACACACAACCCCACCAACTCCACTCTCAACAAGTTCACTGAGGTAAGAGAGCCATCTAGATCCTCCTTTTGTGAATGAGCTTGAAAGGGGAAACCCAAATATTCTCTCTCTCACGTTTCACTCTGCCTCCCTTCTTAGGAGCTGAAGAAGTTTGGGGTGAACACACTGGTGAGAGTATGTGAAGCAACTTATGACAAAGCACCAGTGGAGAAGGAGGGCATACAGGTCCTGGTGAGTAAATCTAATTGAAGATTTGAACAACAGTGTTTGGGGGGGGAGAAAAGGCGCTCATTTTGCCACACTGAATGACACGGTGCTTTTCTGCAAGATCAGCTGCCCTTGGTTGATAAAAAGGCACATGTATGCCTATGCTACACTCTTGGGAACTCCCAGTGGTAATTCACTGGCATAAAAGGGCAACTAATAGTTTCTTCAGCTGGTCCAAAACTCCCACACTGGCCCCAGGCCATAGTTATTGTTAAGCCCTGTTTATTACTGTTTATTGTGCCTTTTATGCTTACATGTTTAAATGGTAAATATTAGGGATGACCCCGAATAGTCGAAGATTCGATGCTTCGATAGGAGGAGCCTGATTCGACTACCAATCTCACAGTCGAATATTCGGGGGGTGTTATGATCATGCCATTTTGGCTATATGGGGGTGCTCAAATGTCTGATTTCACATAGAACTACCGGTTTTCTCCCAATAAGTTAATATACAGCCTATTAAAATATTGCTGTAAATAAGAATCTGAAAAAAAAGAAGCTTCAAATAAATATTTTAACGTGCGAGAATAAATCCAACCACCCCTATAGATTTAAGTTTCACTTTCCATAATCTGTGACCGACAGAGGAGCATTTTGGCGGCAGGGATTTAAAACTTTAACAAGACTCAAATTGACACCGACAGAGTGAAAGACTTTTTTCGATCAGGTAGGGTACAAGTGATTTCAAAACATTTCAGCCGGTTTATATATATATATATATATATATATATATATATATCGTGTA